TCCCTCTGACTTTCTGTGGGAAACACTTGGAAAATTAAGAACACCATATGGAAAAACTACACTGAAGAAACAGTTTTTGTGTTTATAGTATACATTAATGACTATATAAAAAAGATTAGAAAGAGCTTATCAACCAAACATATTACTTATAATTAATGCTCAGAATTGTTTAGACTTTAGTTGCAAGCATACAATTCATGACTGTATTAAGACATTTTTATACCTTTTTGGTAATGTAGCTATTTTTAAATTCTTGGGATTTTTAAAATCATAATTTTACCTTTGTAGAACTCATTATATGAAAACTTTATTTCCCAGACATAGTTTAGAAAGTTAACTAACTTTTGCAAGCATTACTGCCATGTACTTAATATGTACAATTCTATATGAATATCATGAAAATAAAAAAAAATAGTAGACTATAGATAAAAATCACAGTCTGTTAGAATGAGAGCAATCTTAAAAATCGTCTTCCCTTCATACTTATGGAAACTAAGGCAAAGGGCAGTTATATAACTTCCCAGAGGTCCTACAGCTAATGGGTGACAGAGGGAGATAAAAATCTAGATCTGATTCAATAATAGAATCCTCTCCATATCACTTCTCAGATTAACAAAGCTTGAAGGAAACGTGCAAAAATAAAAATAATTGTTATGTTAGGGAAATGGAATTTAAGGTATCTTCTTTTGAAATTCTATTGTTATTATGCTACCTCTTCAGTTTAAAAATGAAGATTGAAAAGATATCAAAATTGCGGGCCTCCCCGGTGGCACAGCGGTTGAGCGCTGGGTTGCGAAGCTGCCCGCGGCCTCTGCGGCGCTGGTTCGATCCCCGGCTGCTCCCCGGCCACTGGAGGAGGGTCCCACATGGCGCGCAGACCTCCCCTGCCGCCCGCTGCTCCCCTCAGCAGTGTACTTCGGTCCTTCTGCCTGTTCTGCTCCCCGCTCTGGTGAATTCTCTCACCCTCCCGCGCTTCTGACTGTACCCAGTGCATGTATAAACAAACAAACAAACAAACAAATAAATAAATAAATAAAACATGCCTCTATTTAAAAAAAAAAAAAAAAAAAAGATATCAAAATTGGCATTATAAAATCAGGCAAAAGAGCACTTCCGTTATTTGGAAGCTAGAAATAACTTACTCTAATAGTACATATTTATAGCAATCAAAATATATAGCATCTGGGCCTCCCCTGGTGGCGCAGGCAGTTGAGCGCCATGCTGTGAAGCTGTCCGCAGCCTCTGTAGCGCCGGTTCGATCCCGCTGGCCGGGGAGGGTCCCACATGACACGGCAGACCTCTCCTGTCTCGCCCACTGCCCCCCTCAGCAGTGTATTTCGTCAGTCTGCCTGTTCTGTTCCCCGCTCTGTCTCTGGTGAAGCCTTTCACCCTCCTGCGCATCTGGCCTGTACCCCGTTCTTGTATAAATAAATAAATAAATCTTTAAAAATATATATATGTATATATATATAGCATCTGAATGCCTACCCTCTTCCCACACACACACACAAACACTAGTGCAACCACTTTATTGCTCTTATCTCATTGAATTCTAACAATAATCCCAAGCATAGAGAGGTTATGTAACTCACCCTAGGTAACCAGGTGAGTGTCAGCATCAGGATTTGAACCTACGCAATCTTAGATAATAGTGGATTGTTTTAAATGCTGAGCCTCCACACTCAATTTCATTGCTACTGAACGTAGCTGCAACTGTCTGCCTTTTCTCCAGCTTTCTTCCTATAGGGTCAAAGCTTCCACCTGAGAACTCCATTCATTTGAACAATGTAGTGGAATTCCTTAGGGCAGAAATTTTTTAAGAGACAGTTATTTGAAACTGCTTATCTGCCACTTGCTAACAATGTGACTCTTCCTTCCTCATCTACAACATGAGTATATTAATAGCTACCTCATTTTGGATTGTTGAAGGATCTGATAAGTTGTTTCCATTTTTCATTTTTTGATATAATACCTGGCATACAGCAAATAATAAATAATAACTGCTACCAACAGCTGTCACGATAATCACCAATATTACTAATATCATAAACAACCACATCCATCGTTATCGTTTCTTTCCTACTGACCTCTTTCAAATGCAAAACTTCACAGGATGGGTAATACATTATCCAAGGGACTAGTGACTCATCAGTCTGTTCTCCCAACAGGCGAACAGAGGTATTAAAACACAGGGAAGGAAAGAGAGATAATGGGAAAGAGAGATAGGAGGAACCCCAAGGAGAACTTAGGGTAGTTTTTCCCCAAAATAGATTGGATAAGAACAGTTCATTTGAAGTCCAGTGCTCTTCTATGGGCCTCAACTCTATTAGGTTTCAGAGGGCCTAGCAGGGAATGAGGAAGGCCACTATCAGCAGAAGTGGAGACAGTCTGTTCCGCCGGAGGAATCCGTGCTCCGTGCGTGGTGGCCACCGACCTGCTCTTGCTGTGGTGGTGGAAGTGGGCAAACAACCCTCAGCAAACACTTCTGTTTACTGTGCCCGGAAACTGGCCTTTTGCCATGTAAAACTCTCATTTTATCCACAGATACAGGTCTCGTATTGCACAATGTGCAGAATCTTATTAAGACTTCTTGCTAACCTGCAGGCTGTGCTTTAAGACTAGGGCTGTGTGCCTTTTCTGAGGTGTTCTTCCACTTTTGCTCAGGGGTAGGGGCTGCAGGTGGCCTGCAGAGGGGTTCTCACATTTCCCTCCAGATATGAGGATCCATCCCAAGGACACAATGGCAGCTGTGGGAAAAGAGGGGCCACATTCTGTCAGAAAATACTGACATACTTCAATGTATTTATGTTTATGTATGTGAATACAGATGTGTGTCCCTTTGTTAAAATGTAAAATCATTTTAAACTATGACAAGGGAAAGACTTGAAGTCTTGTTGTCTATAGTGGAGGATTATGGGTGCTTGGTAGTAGGGGTGGTGTGGTAATGTCCATCCAAAGAGGTGTGAAACTAGCCCCCTAATTCATATACAGTATTATAAACCAGTGACACGTCAATAAAAATGAATTAGTTAATTAATTTTAAAAAATGATATCCTATCAAATAATGCCTTGGGCACAGGTGATCTCTTCTGTTTTTAAAGTCTGACAAATACTTCTTTATTCTGATACTTTGGCAGTACTTGTATATTTGACCCTGCTTCCCCAGGACAACAAACTTGTCTATTTTCTGTGTCTATGGATCTGCCCATTGTTGACTTTTCATATAAATGGAATCATACAATATGTAGCCTTTTGTGACTTTCTTCTTTCACTTAAAAGTTTTCAAGTTTTCATCCATGCTTGTAATATGCCTTTTTTATGACAGAATAATATTTCATTGTGTGACTAGATCACATTTTGTTTTTCCATTCATCAGTCAGTGAGCATTTGGGTTCTTGCCGCTTCTTGGCTATTATGAATAATGTTCCCATGCGTATTTGTGTACAGGTTTTGTGAGGACATATGTTTTACTATTCTTCGGGGTATATACCTACTGGAATTACTGGATCATATGATAACACTCTGTTTAACTTGTAAATAAGCTTTTGAGCACAATATATTACATAGCTCCTCCTGCCACCCGTGAGGGGAAATAAAGGTGCAAACCATTGCTTTAGCAAACACCATCCTGTCCTCTCTTCATGGAAGTTGGCAGATGAGTGGTGGTGCCTACTCCTTGGGATAAAATGTATCAGTGCCTGAAGGTCATTGGCACTCACTGGATATATTTGTCATGTACATCTCACTTTTTGTGGCTCCTATGATAAATGAGGAGTGACCACGTGAAAGTTTCCTTTTAAGTAACTGCAGGGCTCAGATATGAATACCCCAACCTCTCCAGGTACCCCTCACAGCACCACACAGAGTCAGTCTGGAGAAATGAGGGCTTTGAGAAGATCCTTAGAAGTTATGTAAGAATAGGGCCTCCCTGGTGGCGCAAGGGGTTAAGACACAACCTATGAGGCTAACCACAGCCACTGCAGCACGAGTTCGATCCCCAGCCAGGGAGATACCCACATGGTGCAACAGACCTCTCCTGTCTCGCCTGCTGCTCCCCTTAGGAGTGTATTTCAGTCAATCTGCCTGTTCTGTTCCCCACTCTGTCTGTGGTGAATCTTTTCACCTCCCACACCTCTGGCCTGTACCCCAGTTCTTGCATGCATAAATAAATAAATCTTTAAAAAAAGAAGTTATCTAAAAATAATACTAATGATAATAATAGAAACCCCAACTTTTTAGTATGTACTACATGCCTAGCATAATGCCAAACACTTGATAGATGTTCTCTAGATCTGTATTCTCCAAAACATTAACCACTAGCCACATGTGGCTATTAAGTGATTGAAGTGTGGTTAGTTAGAATTGAAATAAGTGATATGTCTAAAATAGATTGGATTTCAAGGATTTGGTACCAAAAAAGAGAATGTGAAATATCTCACCAATATTTTTTACATGTTAAAATGGCATTTTAGACATGTTAAGTAAAATATGTTGAGTTACTAAAATTAATTTCACCTGTTTCTTTTTACTCTTCTTCATGGGGCTACTAGACACTTTTAATTATACGTGTGACTCACATTTGTGGCTTGCATTATATTTCTATTGGACAGCACTTGTTCTAGACTATTCTTCACAGTAATGTGATCAGCTGGATGGTATTATCATCCCCACATTATGGGTGAGGAAATTGAGGCTTAGAGAATTTAAGAAAATTGCCTATGATCATACAGCTGTGGCTTAAGCACAAATCTGTGTGTCTCCAAGTCTGAATTCTTACCCATTCTTCCATGCTCTCTCCCCATAGTCCGGATATATAACCTATGTGATACAAATGGTTATGATCATTAGCTATGGCAAAAACCTGTTTTCACCTCTCTATTGTAAAGCACACGAAAAATCATCCATGTCATTCTGTAAGGTAGAATTTAGATTGCAGTTGGGGAAAACTGCCTATGGGAAAAGTTTCTTAAATACTTTCTCTGTAATGGTTTGGGGCTTACTTGCCAATGATAGAAGGTAGATGAAAGTACTTCAGAGGTTACTTTCATTTCTATGATCCTGTATTACAATTCACATCAGATTCACAGGTCAGTCACTGTTCAACACTCGGAGTGAGACTGAGTAGAGTAAAATGAATTAGTGCTTCAGTTTCATCCTTTTTTTCTTATAAAATGTGAGGCTTTAATTTCATCCCATTTTATATAAATTTGTGAAAACCTCAATGGGACATTCTTCATAGCAATGCCGCCTTCTTCTAAGTGGAAATAGAAAGAAGACAAAACTAAACAGTTGTTCAGTTTCCTTTTTTCCCCTACTACCTTAAACATTATCTGAAATATGTTTTATCTCAGCTAAGTCTTCCTTTACTTTAGATCTCAGTTTTCATCATTCCCAAAGAATTCTCTTACATGTGTTACCAGTAAGTTACTACTATATTTTAAATACTATAACTTAATTTTATTCTCATTTTACATATATTTGTGTACAACATATGCCATGAATGCAATTACTTAATTTAAAATACCAAAGAAGAAACACAGTTTAGAACGTTAGTTCCATAAGATATTTCTCCAAGATGGGAAGGCAGGGAGAAGATTGGGATAATTTAGAGTTATGCTTTGCCTTAGGGTCCTATTTAAAAGTGTAAACCCTCATACTCTTAGGGACTAGAAATGTTGCTGACAACCATTAAGCAAAATCACACACAGGTTTTTCTTTTCCTCCCCAGACTACAAATTTATAGCATACCAAGAAGCATGGCAACCTGACTCTTGTCGCAGCTCAAAAACCAAACTCTAAGAGGTTAAAAAAGTGTCTAGGTATGCACCATGTCTTTTTATTTCTATCTTAATTTACAGTTAAGATTTTGGTGCCCCTAAATTAGGTTCACTTTGGTTTAAATGGCTACCTGGGAATAAATTCAGTGCTAGGCTTTTATTTAGTCATTCTTCCTTAAAATTCCTTAGCAGTTTCAAATGTAAATCAGGTGAGATGACAAGGAACCACAGGAAGAAAACATCGGAAATACAGAATGGCATTGGGAAAGGTTTATGGAGCTGGGTGTCAAATGACTTCAATTTTAATTGTGTTTCAACGATGCATTAGCAACAAGTTCTTGGAGAATTTCAGTTCCGCAGACATTTATCAGACACCCACTATGTTCAAAGCATTGTAATAAGTGCTGTAGGAGACACAAGGATAAACAGGATGTGCATCCTCAAGAAACTTATCACCTAGTAGGGAAGAAAGCATGTTCATAAAACTAGTGATAATACTTTATAGAATGTTTGAGTAATGGAGTGGCACTTACAGGAGCACATAAGGAGATAAGCTTCCAATCTGCAGATTGAGGGTGATTTCATGAAGAAAATGAAGTTGGAATGATCCTAGAAGTGTAGACAGGATTTCTGGGTGGGGCTGGACGGGAAAGGTGTCTTAAACAGAAAGTAAGGGTAGAGGAGACAATGTAAGCAAAGGTGTGCAGTACAAAAGTGCAGAGCTGGTTCAGCAAACTTGTTAGACAGGAAGGCACAGATAATGCTGAATAATGGGAGATAAAGTCTGACTACTAGATTAGAATCAGATTGTGGTAGAGCTGAATTCCATTCTGAAGAATTTGGACCTTGTGCTGCAGGTGGGGAAGACAGCAAAGAGAAAGAACGACCTGTGAGCAACCAGCTATGCTAGATGAATGCTCTGACAGCACTGATGTATGAGTGGTGAGCAGAGAGTTAGAAGGCTGGGAGATGAGTTAGAAAAATTCCGTGGGAGGTACAGGCAATGGGAACGGAGAGATGGCAGCTTCAGGAGACATTTGGAAGAGAATTGACAGGAATTGATGACATCTGGTTTTGAGATGCAAAAGATGACTGAGGTTTTTGAGCATTGATGAGTCAAAGGATGGAGAGGCTGAGAATATGGGAGGTTTGCTGGGAAAGATGCTGAGTTGGGTTTTGAGCACATTTAGTCTATTCTGAACACAGGGGCTAAGCCTTTGAGATATAAGTTTGTTCCTCAATCCACTCTTCCCAAAGCCTTTCAATACCTTCTCATATTCAAAGTGAAAGAAAAGTCCCCACAATAGCCCAAAAAGCCTTATGTGTCTTCCCTGTCCCTGCTCAATTTTCCTTTGCTCTTGTTTCCTTTCATGCCCCCCTCATCTTAATGGACAGTAGCCCCAGCAGCCCTCTTAGTGTGCCTCCAAGACGGCCCAACATGTACCTGCCTTAAGGTTTTTCTTGGTGTCTTCTCTGCTGAAAGGCCTTTCCCCAGACAATTTTCATGTTTTACTCCAGTACTTTCTTTAGCTTTTCCTCAAATAACTCCTTTTTAGAAAAGCCTTTCCTGATCATTCGACATAAACCAGCAACCATCAACCCCCCCCACCTTGGTACACTCCCTCCACCACTTCACTCTTCTCCATCATGATTTTCACCACCTGACATTCTATGTATTCACTTGTCTATTATCACAGCCTGGAAACGGCAGCTATTGAAAAAGTAATGAGATAATCCAATGGCTTCGAGGGTGTAATGAGGTTTGTTACTCTCGCACACCATCCTTGGGACTGCGTTGATATGATCCCTTTGAAAAGCTATTTGGCAGTAAATATGAAGCCATAAAATGTTGATGTCCTGGAACATTTTATGTTTTAGAAATTCTGAAAATCAATTCTAAGAGGATAATCTAAACTATGGAAAAGAAAATATGCAGGAAAATTTATATTGATACAAAATTTATAATAGAAAAAAATTGGAAAGATCCTAAACATCTAACAATATAGATAAATAAATTATCATTAACTTTACTTAATCGTATATTATTCACTTGTTAAAAGGGTAGTTAGGAAAAGCTGATTAGCAACAGGGAAAACACCTATGAGACAATGTGGTATTTAAAGGAACAGATTCACACTTGTATACAGCATGATTTCCGTTATCTTTAAATATGCATATGAAGCAAGACTTGGAGGAAATTACCCCAAATGCTGATGTTAAATGCATTAGGCTAATGGGATTATAGGTAGCTTATTTTTTCTAAATCTCACAGATTTTCTATGCTTAGGTTATATCTTTTTATAATGTGGTTGTTTTATTTTTAAAGAAACTTTTTTAATCATCATAAGAAACTGCAGCTACAACTCAACTCACCATCAAGACTGCAATGTCAGGTATTAATGGGAAATGTGAGTTTCTAGGAAAATGGAACCTGTCTTTAGGAATGAGCATCACTGACACCAATGGCTGTGCCTACATCCCATTAGCACCCCAAATCTCAGCTTCTCTACCTCCTCATTTCTGACTTGCTCTTTTCTCCTTGCCCATATATACTTAGGCTGTGTCCTCCTGGCCATGATGGTCACAGACTTGAAATAATGACTAATAATAATTTTAGGAATAAGGAAACTGAGATTTTGAGAGATTAAGCAATTTTCCCAGGTTCACTGACCTACGAGATTACCAAATTGGCACTTAAACCACCATCTTTCTGACCTCAAATCCTATGCCCTTAGCCTGTACATTGACAAAAACACATTAATTATTAAGGTAGCCTAAGTTGATTTATTATATAGATGTTGGCCAGGTGAAGTAAACAATTGAATAACTGAATAATTCAACTTGAAGCTCTCAATCAATTGATTTTGAGTATATTTGTGTCTGAATTAACCAGCACATTGCTTTGGATTTTCTCCATATATGTTCACAATATCTCAGTAACTATTAGATGCCCTATAATTAGCAATTTGAAGTATACTTTAGCTATTTTGATTATCTTCAATATGCAACTTTTTAGTTGTTAACAAAAATTATTTTATCTGTTTTGATTAAAGGCCTTAGTTGATTTAGAAGCACCCTTTAGGGCCAAGAGCAACTTTTAAAATAAAATAAAATAAACCCTTAGTTATCAAATATAAAGGTAGATCCTTTCAAGTTGGCTATTTGGACTTAAGAATTGAGACTACTAATAGAAAACACATAAGCTGTCAAAAAGGATGTAAGATTCAGTTATAACTGATACTATTTCAGGGAAATGTCTAAATGAGATTTGCCATTTAATAACCCATCTACTTCAAGAAACAGTTTAATAAAGATTCTAAGCAAATTTGTTGTAATGAGATTGAAGGGACTGAATAGAATTTTCCATGAAAGAGTGCTCATAATGGTCACCATTATTACAGCTCAACAGTGTTCTTTCTTGCCTGCCTTCCTTGGCGAAAGTTCTAGAAAACCCTTTCAGCTCCCAACATAGATGTGAAGAGTTTTAACATGATCATTTTCATCAGAGCTAACATTTTTAAAAACATCCTCTGAGCCAGACTTTGCTACATACCACACTTAACTATCTCATGTTGGTGCTCAGAATTCAATAGACACTATCATTATAGCCATTTTATAGATAAATAAACTGACCCATAGAAGTATTAAGTAACTAGTTCAAGAGACTCTTTAAAAAATAAAACACAAATATTTTATCTTGATTGTTTCACCTCTTAGCTCTAAGAGATTAACATTTTTAAAAAGGAATGTCTAGATGGGCTTTACAGCTTTTGTGTTAAAAGAAAAAATGAAAGACTTTTTGAATTGCTGTGGCTTTATGCCAGCAAGTAATTCCATTGGAGAAATGGGTCAGTGAGAGCTAAAATGTTAAATATAAAATGTCTGAGCAAATATGTTTTCCTTGGATAGCCTGGGCTCCCTTGCAGCCCTGTCCCCCACCAGCCTGCTTGCTGCTCTTTCTTAGGGTTTTTCATTGGTGGAGCTGTCCTTGGTCTGAGAGGTCAGGAAAGGAAAGTTTTGCCTGGGGTCTTTAACTTCTCACGAAGTTGCTACACCTCTCAGTTGATTTGTAGAAATCTGCCAACCCCAAATGTAGAACAGATTGGGAGGATTCTTAGGGAAGGCCGTGACTCTCTGGAGGATTTCATTATAGTACGTTTAAAAATGGACCCTTCCAGTTGAGCAGAGCTTTCCCACCTTAGATGAGGTTATGGGGAACCTGGAATTCACTTAGTGAATAAAATAGTTTTGAAGACCTACTTTAGGCAGAGTACAGTCCTGAACACAGAGAAGATGTATTTCTGCACTCAAAGATTTAAATTTCTGTGATAAGACACTCATTAAAAAAAAAAAGTTAAGGGCCTCCCTGGTGGCGCAGCAGTTGAGCACTGGGCTGTGAGGCTGCCCGCAGCCTCTGCAGCGCCGGTTCGATCCCCAGCCACCGGGCGAGGGTCCCACATGGCGCGCAGACCTCCTG